CATGTACGCGGGCAAGCAAAAACGCTCTGACGGTTCACATGTACCGTTATATGGAGAAATGGACATGTACACAGGTGGCACATAGTGTTAGCCATCGAATAAAGTTGAAAACGAAAAATCGATGAAATTTCATGCACAACGTGGAGAGTATCCTTAACAACGTGAAGCAAATAGGAGAACATTCTATTATGTTGTATTCTGAATGTGTTTATATTTATATAATTATGTGTGTGTGTATGTGTTAAATTGACTACGTCACGAATTTTCTATGGTAAAATTTGTAAAATTTTTGTTGCCATTTTTTTACATTAAAAGTAAGAACTAACGGGACTAAACGTATCGTCAAATTCTTACCTGATAAGACTAGTTAAAAATCCAAAAAACCTTGACGATTTGATATTAGTGTTCCTGACATTAATTGCTTGCTATGGGCTATGTATGCGTCACGAGTGTATGTTAACATCGAACAATAATATAGTAAAATAAGTATAATGCAGCAATTTAACCATAAAAAGTGAACAGAATTACTTATATTTTGTGAAAAAGTGGGAATTTATTTTTTATTTTTTACTATTTACGGTGCCGTAATCACGTTAATGTGTATATCAGGGTTACTTCTGAGGGAAAATTAGACAAAGGAGGTAATGGCCAGTTTGGGAAAAAACGCACATGGTGGATTTAAATGCAGGATGTATTGATATACTTATCAGTAAATACCGGAACCTTTTCACAACAGCAATGTTAAATTTGACAACGGCGGTGTGCTACTGTGCCTCTTATGTATAAGAAACCCTGGTATATAATGGTGTACGTATCAGTGTCGAAATGATGTTAAAGTGTACCTTAATCACTTTACTTGTACAGAATATGCTGACATTTTTTTCTATATATTTTTCCTTCATGTTGTATTGCACTGTTTTGTACTGTATCACTCAGAAATTTTATTATTTTAACTGGTCAACACTATTGCATTTATCATATTTTTTCTCCATGAAAAAGACTGTACATGTACTTGTATTTGAATTACCTGCAATAAAGATTTAATAATAATAATAATAATAATAATAATAATAATAGGGTTGTTTTGCCTTGTAAAGATAATTTTTCTTTTTAATTTTGTTCATTAATTTGGTTTGCAAATTGTTGTAATTATAACTATTTATTAGAAACATAGGTACAGCTTGGAAGGTTTCCTTTTTGTTTTCAAGTTAAACAAGGCGTGAAAGGAGATTTGGATGAAGATTTGGCAAAGGCGATAGAGCAGAGCATTCTTGAGCTCGGAAGGTTACTTGCGAAAACTGGTCAGGCAGAAGGTAAATCATCCAATAATTTATGAGCAGTATAATTATGTAAATGATTTGATTCAGTATGAAGACAACATGCACAATAAGAATCCTTTATGTATCTTGATCGATATAAACCCACAAATAATATTTGTTTTGTTTTAGAGCTTGGAGGGTTAATCCAGTATATCAGGCCATTTTTGTCATGTATCAGCAAGGCAAAGGCAGCCAAGCTTGTGCGAGCATTAGTGGATATATTACTGGACATGGAACTAAACACTGGAAAAGTGGTAAACTTTCAGCTTAATGTTTGCAATGAAATTAATATTAAATATAATGTTGCCCATAAAAAAACATTAGCATAGTTATAAGCATAATTTGGTATCATGCTGATTGAGAGGACAATTTTCTATGGGGATAGTTATGGTGTGATCATGGTAACAAACATGCATAGAAGTCATGTTTTCTATAATTTTTTAGATTCATTTACATGTGTTTTGCTTGTAAGCCAGTGGTATTGTTAGCTAATCTTAACAAGAATCTTTTTCTCATTGGATAAGGTTTGATTTTACATGAGTAGACCTTGTTAGTGGGCAGTGATTTTATTAAGTAGTGATATATTTTAGTTCAGTATTGATTCTATTGAATATCTAACAATTCAAGTAATGCAGAATCTCACAGAATGAAACCCTTGCAATACTTCCTGTGTGATCATTATTTGCATGTAAATAAGGCCATGAGAAAAATATTGTTTGCTTGCCCTCACCCGATCGACCTGCCAAAAAGGGGCCGGACTCAAAAATTGTTATTGAATTTTTTTTTTTTACAAATTGTATTACTGAACATTATATAAATCTTTAGGCAATACATTATATGTACCAAGCAAAACAAACATTCAACATAAAAGGTATCTCCACACAAGCACACCAAAGCATGTAGACACCATGCTGAATTAGTAAAAAGATCCATTCAAAAATAAAGCGTACCTACCTACCCAAACTTTTCAGCCTGGGCCAGGTGAGGGCAAACAAAGATTTTTTTAATTGTGGCCTAAATCGCACACTTTTTATTTCATAATTTTTTTAAATCTATTTTGGCAAATTTCTGCAGGTTCAGTTATGTAAAGAATGCATTGAATGGGCTAAGGAAGAGAAGCGAACATTTTTGCGGCAGAGCTTAGAGGTAAGTATAATAAGGTTCATAGTTAAATATGTATCATACTGCTATTAGAGCATACACGTTTCAACACTCGTTGTGATATATGCTGATATTGCTAGATAAAGTATGTTGAGTAACTAATAATTAATGTTAATTTATATATTAATTCCAAATGCATTGTTCTAAAAATGGAATTAATTTAAATGAATCAGCCAAAGCATTACAAAAGTAAAATGTTATTAAAAACATTTATTATTGATTTTATATCTCGGCTAGTTAATGATGTATGTTTATTTGAAATTCGTCCGTAAATATTCATGATATGTTGTTTAAAAATGGATATATTTATGCGGAAACTGAATTCAGAGCATGCACATTGGGTCAGTATAATTGCTTACTTGCATTGTAAATGCCTTTGCTTCCTTCAGGCACGTCTTGTTGCTCTTTACTATGACACAAAGGAATACACAAATGCATTGTCATTAGGTAAGTTGCTCTTCATGGTCATTCGATGTAATTGTGACCGTTCAGTGGCACTATCATTAGCATAGCTAGCAAATGTTCGTGATATACCAACCGTGATGTACAAGAAGGGAAGTACTCCTAATCAGACGGGTAACAGTGTAGCTTCTACCTTGCAGCATCACAACTGCTTAGGGAATTAAAAAAGCTAGATGACAAGAACCTGCTAGTTGAGGTGCAGCTGTTGGAGAGCAAGACCTATCATGTACTCAGCAACCTTCCAAAAGCCAGGTACGTGCTCGAAACAATCCTGTGCCATTTTTACTTTCACGGCTGATTTGCATGTGATCGGTCTGTTCTACGATCGCTACCTTAGGTTGCTGTTTCTCATGCTATCTTCTTCCTGGTGCCAGTGGTGTCAGTATTGTTTAAAGACTTTGAGTCAACATTGTGTTTTTCTTCTGCCTGCGGATTTGTTCCCTATAGAGGCAATGTAGGAGTATTGGTTTCCCTTTAAAGCATGTGTGCTTAGTAGTGTACGTAAACTCACACACTCTACTCATAGCATTATATGTAATGGATATGTGTGGTGCTACCGAAGGTTCCTTCCATAAATTTGATCATGGCATATTGAAAAACTGTCACAGGAAGCTCACTGTAAAAATCCCAAACCGTCAAACTAGGAAAAGGGAAAATTGTAGTGATTTTCAGAGCCACCGATACACGCCCGGACGCATGCACCCATACATAACGGCAAATACGCATGCACATGCACGTACGCACATGCACACACACACAGACACACACACACACACACAAACACACCCACATGTACACGCACGCACATGCATGCATGCCGGTAGCATCATTCGCAGCATCCGCTGACCTGCGTGACTTTCAGGGCCGCGCTGACGTCGGCGCGGACGACGGCAAACTCGATCTACTGCCCGCCGAAGATGCAGGCGGCGCTCGACATGCAGTCGGGCATCCTGCACGCGGCCGATGAGCGCGACTTCAAGACGGCCTTCTCCTACTTCTACGAGGCGTTTGAGGGCTACGACTCAATCGAGCTGACGCCGCGCGCCGTCACCGCACTCAAGTACATGCTGCTGTGCAAGATCATGCTGAACTGGTGAGCATCAAGCAGTGGTAGTCGCCGATACCTTGGAGTAATCATTCTGAATGTGTCATGAGTCAGAATGAGTCAGAATGATTACTCTAAGCCAATACCTAAACGTTGTGCTGCTCGGATAAAGGCAGAGACAGGGGCAGGCGGCAAATTTACTCATCCAGGCAGAATCTTGTGGAGTGCTGATACTGTGGATTATTTGGAATTTCTTGGCAGCGAATGAATGCTTATGCAGTGTATGGTCTTGATGTTAATTATGCTATCTGTTCCTGCCTATATTTCAGCCCTGACGATGTACAGAGCCTGATCAGTGGTAAGCTAGGCCTCAAGTATGCCGGACCTGAGATAGAGGCGACAAAGAGCATTGCCCAGGCCAGTCACAAGCGTTCTCTTGCAGATTTCCAGCAGGTACTTACTTTGAAGAATTTCTTGAGTGATCTGTATGCACTGATAGTGTACCTGTAAACCAGGGGCTTCTCTATCCCATTCAGTTCTTTGAAACAAATCATGATAATAGAGTGAAAACGTTCAAGAGCAGTCGAGCGAAAAACTTGTATAATGTCTCGAAATAGACTAGCAGTGTTTGCTACATGCGTTTCTGTTTGCGCAAAAGCGACGTCATATTGACAGGGATGAGATTCTTCCGCGGATCCGCGGAAATCCGCGGATTTGACAGTCCCAGGGGTCGATTTTGTGAAACGTCTAAATTCGTTGAGAAAATTGGGAGGGGGGTAACAATGTAACAATTTAAATTATATACCCTCAACAGCACCTGACTGTAGACTGTAGAGTGTAGACAGTAGGCTGACAGCGAAGTATACAGTGTATCTGTTTTTGCGTACCAGAAAAGAAAATCCTTGTTGACAGGCTGCAGTAGAGGGGCAAACATTTGAGGTAGCTGATCACGTAACGACCATGCCTGGCCTGGGGGCCGGGTTTACATGTTGCTGCGTGCATGTTGTGTGCATGACTATGCACTGATTGTTCCATTCGCATTGTGTTTTTTTTCATTCAAATCTGGTCGCAGCAAGGCAGCTTATGTCTGAGTAAAACAATGCAAGCGACGGGTGGAAACAGAAAAATATCATTATGTCTAGACATTTAATAAAAAACTTGCCCTATTTTCAGCCCCCTGATTTCCTATTATAGTTCGTTTGTTCTTTTTGACAACTTGAAAAGGTGATTCAAGAGGCTCCTATAATTAGTTCAGAATAGCTTAGAATGCACCAAATTGTACCATTCTTTTAAAAAAAAAAAATTTTGGACCCCGGACCCCCCTAGCATGGCGATGATCTACGGTCTTCGCATTGCTCGCTCCTCTGTTTGCTAATTTAAATTTCAGCTGAAAATTAAATTATCCAATCTCATCCCTGTATTGATGAAGTAGTGTCTAAATGTTGCAGTTGATCATCCATCGTTCTTCACTACGTTTATCGACGGTCGACATAATTTATTCGCGCGGATTTTCTCTGTGGCAAACTTATTGTTTCCGTCCCGCAGACACTGGAGCGGTACCAGGCGGAGTTGGTGCAGGACCCCATCGTTCACGCGCATCTCGACTCTCTTTACGATGACCTCCTAGAAAAGAACCTTTGCAGGATCATCGAACCGTACTCTCGCGTGCAGGTGAGCCTGATGCTGTGGTGCAGAAAACCACGTCAAAACAAGATGTGCCTCGCACTCTCAAACGTTGAGTTATCCTTGCCTCGATTCGCGAAAATCCATCGTAAATCGCTTCCGGTTCCATCTTGTACCACGGGTGAAACTACAATTCTTTAGGTCGGCAAGTGTTGCCTTAAATTTAATTATGAATTTCAATTCGTGAAGCACCACGGCAAGCTTCGTCATTTGTGTCAAGTCTGTCTATGTAATTTTTCGAAGATAACATTGTTATCTATCGTGAGAATGACTAATGCGTGCAAATGTATTGTTTTTATTTTCTAGGTGGAGCATGTAGCTAAGGCTATTAATCTGCCAATAGACACGGTGGAGAGAAAGCTCTCTCAAATGATTCTGGACAAGAAGTTCAGTGGTTAGTGGTCATTCTTGCTTGTACTATATGCCACATTGTACAGTTATTTAGTCTTGTTCCAGCACACTTCTAACGAGATGACATTTTGTGAAGTGCAAAGTATGAGATTGTTCAATGTCTTTATGGTAAATCAACTACACACTGTAATCCTGGGGGTCCTAACAAGTGGTCGTGTGATTGACATGGATCTCTAGGGCTTTTATAGATAGGAATCTTGGGGACCCACATGCCCCTGTTATTGTGCTATTCCTGGTATCTGTGTTTGTGTTTATGTGCATTTTTAGGGGGGTCGATAGCTCTTGCCAAATTTCTGAAGGGGTCCATGACCAAACAAGTGTTAAGAATCCTCGCTCGGAACATCCACAGCAGCTGTTCTGTGTGCAAGCTGAAATTGGTCTGCATCTCTGTGGAAAGGGCTAGTAACCACCCCTCCACACGCACACACACACACATACAGACACACACACACACATACAGACACACACACACACACACATACAGACACACACACACATGGAAAACGCCCGAGTGAATGTTGCAGACGACAGTCGCGGTAATTCAGTGGGCGTGCTCATGCCGAAAACGGGGGAGCGTCGGTCGTTGCTGCTATATATATCGTCCTCCTTCATTTCATCTCGTTCTATTTTTTATTCGTATATATTTTTGACGTTATTTTCTCGTCGCGTCGGTCGTCGTCGTCGTCTTCCGTGTTGTGGCGGTAAAATCTCGCTCCTCCTCTCTGCGCAGGTATCTTGGATCAGGGAGAGGCCGTTCTGATCGTCTTCGAGGAGGCGACCGTGGACAAGACGTACGAGACGTCGCTGGAGACGATAAACAACATGGGGAAGGTCGTCGACGCTCTCTATCAGAAAGCAAAGAAACTAACATAACGTGAGCGCGAGGGCAGCGGCGAGTGTTCAGAGCGCGCTTGCGCTATCCTCGCTCCGTCTGTCGACGCGGCGATTCATGACGGAAAATGCGCTTTTGCATTTTCTCAGCAGACGTCAGCGGGGAGGGGGGGGGGAGGGTCGATGTCGTCTGCACTCGGAGGTCACGTTTGCATTTTTCTTGGGCGAGCGAGCATGTCGAGTAGTAGCGTAACAGTTTCTCCCGCTGTATCTTCCAGCGTTGGTTTATTCTTGGACGTTCACGCGTATCATCTGCATATATGCTATTAGTGTGCAGTAGTTGATGAGAGGACATGGATTGGTTGTTATATTGACTGACCCGGTTACAAACAAAACATCTAGCACTGCATATGAAATGTGTGACTATCAGTACTCACAGGTGTCGAAGTATATATATGAGAGCATTTAATGGAGCAGAGATTGCTACCAGTAGTTATTACTGTACATAGATCAATGGGTACATGTATCACTCCAAGAATTTAATTTAAAATGAAATTTTGCACTTTAAAAAAAATCTAGTAGGCATAGTGACTAAAAATACTCGCAATACCACGTTTTTGGTAATTATCTGGCTGCATTATATTTATATATGTATATATATATATGAAGTGAGCCTGCAATTAATACAAGGCAATGCAATCGATTAATGTTTGAGTGCGTTTTCCAACTAATGCCAGCAAAGCATTGCTGGCTGATTAAGGTGGAAGTACATAACTTTACGTCTAGGTAATTGAGTGATTTTGGAGTGGTAGATTTTCTCATTCATCTATTTTTTATTACTTATTTCCTTCTATTCGTCAAGTGAATAAAATAACAAATATTTTGAGAAAGACAGTTCATTTGCAAGTGTCATAAATACTATAATCGATATTTTTGTGTTGTTTGACCACATCCACAATGAAGTGACATTAGGCTCGTATAACAATGACTGAAACCTTGTTTCCCCTACCTATATATATAGCTCTACGAGAGTTTTACAAGAGTTGCTATTGCTGATACAATATACACTTACGCACCCGCCCATTTATATATATATATATATTTATTCATTCTGATATGTGGGATGCATAATTCACTCTCCGCGTAATTGAATTTTCTAGCTCGTTTCCGTCGATGTTCATGTAAAATTAGAATTCCGTCGCCACAGTGCGCGCATCATTCAAACCAGACCCATGGATAGAGATCGTTCAAAACAAACTTCTCTGTCCTATGACATTGTTGTGGCAAAGAGCTTCAGTGTGGTTTACTGATAGTGACGTGATCGGAACCGGAACGCGAATGTTTCTTAGCATACCACTCAAAAGAGATTAACTGTGATCCCGTTTTCAACTGGTCGTGTTTAGAGCAACGTGCATTCGCAAACGCTTGCCCAAGTTGCGTTTTCATGTCTCACTTACCCTAAACCTGCCCACACGACGCGTATGCGAAACCGGGTTGTCCTCTACACTGAAAACATTTTACAGTTTTGTTGTCGTGCTAGTCCGTTTAGTGCCCGTGTTTATTTCACATAACATTACGTTAAACATTGGCGCTTAAATATTACGTGGCGGTGCGCGACGCTCTCTGTGTGCAGCAGTAACGGTAACAATAACTGTAACAATAACAATAACTGTAACAGTAACAATAACAGTAACAATAACTGTAACCGTAACAGCATTAGTAACTGTAACATTAACAGCATCAGTAACTGTAAGAGTAACAGTAACAGCATCAGTAACTGTAAGAGTAACAGTAACAATAACTGTAACTGTAACAGGCACGGTCAGTAAGTTAACAGGCGTTACAGTCGTCGTGCTCGGCGATCTACTAGTAATATCAGAAGTGTATAATATAGTGATCCATCTCTATATTATACACTCCTGGTAATATTGGTCAAAGCCAGATTGTTCCACGGTCACTGTTTGCGTGCGCGCACCTAAGAGCCGTGATACTCGTACGAAGAAATTACCATCCATTTTGTATTTGCGAGGAGCAGAAATCGATCTGCTTTCCGTGATAAGCCGTTCTTCTGCGTAGTTTTTCTAGTAACTATATAATGTATTGCATGTAATAGTTATCGAAAGCCGTGTATACTGTTACGCAGGTATGTCTTGAAGTGAATGGAGTGGAGTTTTGAACGACATCACCATGATTCCACTTAGCTATTAGCCCATTAATTAATTAATTTAATGGTAAGCCGATTGTGTGCGCTGTGATTAACCTAGCCAAAACGCTGACAATATTTATGAGGCGGATTGGAGAGCGGGTCATACTGATTCTCATCAGTCTTCTGATAGCTCTCCCACATAGACTACTATTGTGCTCTCATACGTTCTTACTAGCCGTAACCTAGGTATGTGTATGAAAACGCTATCTATATAATAATTTGAGTAGTGTCGTTCTGTTTGTTCCTGCATATCTTCTAGGCGCGTGCACGAATCCGGTTGAAAATTTTCGTGCTTCATTCCTACGCGTCAGGTTCGATTCTAACACTTTGCTTTTTGTCATTTATTGGGTTATATGTTAAAAAAAACCATATTTAGAAAATATAATGGAAAATCTCCCTGGAAAACATGCACGATTCAGTTCACTTCCGCTAGGTGCGCTGGCTGTAGACTTACAAACACGCAACCACAGGCTAAGGGATACAGTAGTCTGTCGCGTAACCTTGCAGTGGATTCGCCAGGGCACACGCGCTCTGTGGAATCAAGTTCTCTCCCACCTGCACGCTCGCACTCAGCGCATATTTATCTATCAATCTATCTATTTTGCTATCTATCTATCTATCTCTATCTATATATCTATCTATCTATCTATTTATCTATCTATCTATCTATCCATTCATCAAATGTGAACCTGTGACCCTTGACCTTGGGTGAAAGGCACTCAAAATCAATAGGGTTCCACCTAAGTTCTTCACCAAGTTTGAAGTTTCTACTTCTAACGGTTGCAAAAATATCGAGCAGACAGACAGACACACACGCACACGCACGCGCACGCACACGCACACGCACACACACACACACACACACACATCATACACACGCACACGCACGCACACAAACGGCGCGAAACCAATACGTTCCGCTACACTACGTCAGGAGGATATAAACTACTAAATTACTGCGAAGCGTTTGCCTACATTTTCCAAGAATCAAACCCCGTTAGTAGAAAACTGACGGGCAAAAGACAAATAATTGTATTAAGCTGGTTTCGTATTAACCACTTCAACATATATTAACCCCGAATTAACAAACAAGGTGCGTACAAGATATTTTATATAGGTTTATATGGATAATTAAGAACTTTATAGTAGCGTTAAATTGTTCACAAATAGATACAATTACTGCAAAGCCTAAACTCCTCATTCAATTACTACAATTCATTACTACAGTCGCACCCCATTAGTACGAAACTGACGGGCCAAAGAAAAATAATCGTATTAAGCGGGTTCCGTATATTATATTAGCCTTAATTTGAAAAGAAAAACAATGGATTAGAAGGTGTGTACAAAGTGTTTTACATAGAAATGAATATACCGGGACAGAAAATGTCATGTTAGTAACAGGATTCTTGTATTATTATCTTAAGTCAATATTTTACTAAAAGATTACTATGAATCGGGCCAGGATTTAGAGAAATCATCGTAGTCTCATCAGCGTAACGAGCGAATATGGCCGCCGGAGGCGGCCATTTTGCGAGTATATTTAACGCGGGTATAACACAGCAGTATTTTTTGTCAATTGTTTCCCTCGGTGCGACGGCTTTTTTCCGATAATAGTTCTGTAGTTAATACTATTCGTCTGTGTGTGATTGCACGGACATATCTAACCCGACCAGGCTGCGTGACTAACGTAAATATACACAGGGTCTCCTAACTCTAGCAAAGACCGTTTCTTGGAGCTAGGACATATCGTACAACGGTACCATATACGGCGATGTATCACGGTCGGCGTATGTATCACGATATGCGGTCGATATTTCAACTGTAGATGGCGCTTTTGCAAGTCGCGGTCGAAGAACTAGTAGCCTATGTATAGTAATACTGTAATAGTTATATATATATAAGCACATAAAGATGTGTGGAAGCAATAAATTGTATCGTAAGTATATAACAGAGCGTATGTCTATTAATTATGAGGTAACCCTTCCAATTATTATTTTATTATCATTTTATCAGAGGACGTTGTGGATTTCCCCCTCGTCAAATATGTTACAGCGGAACGGCGTTGCGTTACCTTCTCGGTATGTGTTTCTCCGATGAAATATGGAAATAAATAAAACACTGTTCAGTACGATGAACAATATAATCCTTGCGTTGCGCACGGTTGCTGTTTTTCTTGCTCATGTTTTACCTTATATATAAATAATTAGTTCGGCCGTTTTCATAACTGAAGCATTTTCCATGCCATGATGCCATGCCTGCTTTCCCTCATTATCTCTTGCTCTCGCGCGCGCTCTTCCCCCCCTCTCTCTATGTATATATAAATATATATATATATATATATTATATATATATTAATAATACATATATATATATATATATATATGACTCTCGCTCCCAACTCTTCCACTCCGTGTCTAATTTTCTCTAATAATTTTGCAGCAGTTTCACAATTTTTCGCAAAAAAATACTAATGACCTCGCTCTCCACACCTAGCGCGGGATCAGCGCACCACAGCCCCCAAACTGCAATATAACGACCATGATACGCTTATAGCATGAAACGCTAATAGCTGTTTGTTTCTGTTGATGGCCATGTTGCGATAATTATAAGCGTGATTAAAATGCGTGCGTTCGCGAAGTGCAAAATCGATTCGCCGACAGCTGGTTACAACCGAATATTGTCGAGCAGTTATTAGTTCGTTAGTTAACGGCAGCCTATGTCTAGTAGCTGGGGCTGTGCAATGAACATTGGTTATATAATTATAGTTATATTTATCCGAATTATTTTTTTGGAAATAGAGTATAGTTGTTCTGTTTTGTTCAGTGCACTGATATCGTAAAAACTACTTCGTAGGCCTACTGCGTACTGCGTAAAACGTACTGCGACGTTGCTAATTCAATAGCTAATTCAATTATAACAATAATAATATAAAGGATATAAAGACTAATATAATAAGTAAAATAGTCGCTAATACGCATGTGGGGATGTCGATTGTATGGATCGCACGTAGGCTGCTGTCGGTTAGTTTAAGATCGCACCCTTGTTGATGATTGACAGCATGGTGTACACTCTATACTCCTTACTCTAACGTGCAGCTTGAGATATTAAAGAATTTTGCACAGGGGAGAGATAGTGATCCGCTAGGGGACGGCTCTGATTGGCTAATTTTGTCTCTTATTTATTTTATTTTTTATTATTTTTGGCTAATTTTGTTTTATTTTAGAATTAGAGATAGAGTTAGGGTTAGGGTTAGGATTAGGGTTAGGGTTAGGGTTAACTGATTTCTATATCCACAACTTATTTCTATATTCACTATCTCTCCCCTGAGACCTACTAGATATTAAACAATCGTCAGTCCATAGCTGCACGTCCGAAAGATCGAGATCTAACAGTGAAGTGTAGGGATTTTCTATTGGGATTTTCCACTGGGATTTTTCCTCGCCCGTGCGAAATATATATATATATTATATAATTATAATATATATATATTTTATATATATATATATAAGTGAAAACCCGCGAGTTTAGTTCGACGGAATTGATTCTTAGCACGAGACCTAGTCCGGTAAAATCCACATTTCGCGTCGCTAGCTTTCTTAGCCTGCATGCCTTCTCTCATCTAATCAAACCTAGCCACCAAGGCACCAATCACTAGCTGTCATCCGCCTACAATTTCTATTTCCAGTAT